CCCAAACTCCAGTCCCTCACGCTCAAGTCCACCACCAAAATCAGGTCTTGCTGCTGCTGCTGCTGCTGCTGCTGCTGCTGCTGCTGTTGATGATGGTGCTGCTGCTGCTGGCGATGCTGGTGATGGTGAGGGGATGATGATGATGGTGGTGATGATGGGGGTTAGGATGCTCTTCCTGCTACTGCTGCTGCTGCTGCTGCTGTTTTTGCTGCTTCGGTTCTTGCTGCTTCTGCTCTTCCTGCTGCTGCTCTTACTGCTGCTGCTTTTTATGCTGCTGCTCTTACTGCTGCTGCTTTTTGTGCTGCTGCTCTTCTTGTTTCTCTCTCGGCTTTCTGCTGCTCCTCTTGCGACTGTTTCTGCTGCTGTTTCCTCTACTCCCCCTGCTGCCTTTTCTGCTGCTCCTTCTGCTGCTCTTTCTGCTGCTGCACCACATGTTGTTACTGCTTCTACATGCTGTGCTGCTGCTGCTGCTGCTGCTGCTTTTGCCGCTGCTTTTGCTGCTGCCTTTGCTGCTGCTCTGCTGCTGCTTCTGCCGCCGCTCTGCTGCTTCCGCTGCTGCATCCCCTGCTGCGGCTGCACCTGCTGCTGCTGCTGCTGCTGCTGCTGCTGCTGCTGCTGCTTCAAATATTGTCAAGAGCGCGCTTTGTGGAAGATGCTGAGCAACGGGGGAGCCCGTAGCGGGATAATCGTGCAGCACGTTGCGCTGCTGCTTTTTCTCCCGTTTCTCTGCCGCGCCCCTGCTGCTGCTGCTGCACCTGCTGCTGCTGCTGCACCTGCTGCTGCTGCTGCTGCAGGTACTACCAAGAGCGCGCTTTGCGGAAGATGTTCAGCAACGGGAGGGCCCGGAGCGGGATAATCGTGCTGCCGTGTGGGGCGGGGAAAACGCTGACAGGAATTACAGCTGTCTGTACACTGCAGCGCAGCGCGGTGGTGCTGACAACTTCTGCTGTTGCTGTTGAGCAGTGGAAGCGGCAGTTTTTGGAAAACAGCAGCATAAAAGAAAAGGAAATAATGCTGCTGACAGCAGAAAGCAAGCAGCAGCTGTGGGGCCCCGCTGCAGCAGGCGTGCTGCTGAGCACCTACACCATGCTGGCCTTCTCCGGCCGCCGCAGTGCTGCTGCTGCTGCTGTCCTCAGCCAAATCCAAAGTCGAGAATGGGGAATTCTCATTTTCGACGAAGTCCAGTTTGCCCCGGCCCCTGCCTTCCGCAAGATCAACGCCCTCGTCAGGTCCTGCTGCTGCTGCTGCTGCTGCTGCTGCTGTTACGGTTATGGCTGTGGTTGTGGTTGTGTTGTGGTGATTCGGGGCCTGCTGCTGCTGCTGCTGCTGTCGTGGTTGTGGTTATGTTGTGGTGGTTCGGGGCCTGCTGCTGCTGCTGCTGTTGCTGCTGTTATGGGTGTGGTTATGTTGTGGTGGTTCGCGGCCTGCTGCTGCTGCTGCTGCTGCTGTTATGGTTATGGTTATGGTTATGGTAATGGTGGTTCGGGTCCTGCTGCTGCTGCTGCTGCTGCTGCTGCTGCTGGTTATGGTGATTCGGATGGTTATGGTGGTGATCGTGGTGGTGGTTATGGTGGTGGTGGTGGTGATGGTGGTGCTGTTGGTGCTGCTGCTGCTGCTGCTGTTGCTGCTGCTGCTGCGACGGCAGCGGTGTAGAGGAAGCTGCAGCAGACGCTTTGCTGCTCTTTTGGGCACTTTTGCTGTTTCTCTTTTTGGCTGTTTTCTGAAGTCCTCATATTTATTATTATTCATTGTTTATTGTTTATTATTTATTTATTTATTTATTTATTTATGTTATTTATTTGTTTTAATAATTAATTGCATGTAAATTGCACTTCAAATTTTATTTTATTTTGAGTTAATTCCCTTCCAAAATCAATTGCAGCTTCTTGCTTTTTGCTGCTGCTGCTGCTGCTGCTGCAGCAGAGCTTCTCTGCGTCTTTTTGTCCTCTTGAATCCCCCTTTTTGCTGCTTTTGTTTTACTTCTTTCAATTTAATTTATTTCTTTTTGTTCGATTTATTTTAATTTATTTTAATTAATTGTTTTCAAATCGGAGATCAAAAGAAACAATTCAAAAATTCATCCTTCAATCTGCAGCCAAAGGAAAAACTTGAATTTGCAAAATCTGAAAAACACATGGCCAGCAATAAGCCCCTCATTCTTTTGCATTTTAGGTTCTTTGTTCATTATTTAATTAATTTTAATTAACTTTAATTAATTAAATTAATTTTAATTAGTTAAATTACTTTTAAATGATTTGAATTCGTTTTACTCTTCCACTTGGCCTCTTCCGCAGAGCGCCCTCGCCGCGGGCTGCCGCGGGAAGGCGAAACGCCCATCATTCTTCTGGATTTGAAGTGTTTTCTTCTAAAATTTGAACGAATTTGAATAAATTTGAGAAAATTTGAATAAATTTAACCAAATTTAATCCATTTGAAGCGTTTATTTGCGCCTTCAGAGCCCACTGCCGCTTGGGACTCACAGCCACGCTGGTGAGGGAAGATGACTTGATTAAAGACCTGCAGTGGATTATTGGCCCGAAGCTCTACGAGGCGAATTGGATTGATCTTCAAAATCAGGTTTTTAATAAACCCTAATTCTCTAAACCGCCGTTTCTTTTCATTTAAAACTCCCCTTTTTGTGTTTTAGTAAACCCTAATTGTTTAAATCCCTTCTTTCTGTCTTTTTCCTATTATTTCCGCTTCATTTCCCTTTTTTCCACTTTTTTGGTTTCAAACTTCAAAATCGGGTTTTTCGATCTTTAATGAACCCTAATTCTTTAAGCCTCCGTTTCTGTCTTTTTTCCACTTTTCTCATTTTAAAATTCCCTTTTTTGTGTTTTAATAAACCCTGTTTGTTTAAAAACCCTTCTTTCTGTCTTTTTTCCACTTTTTTTCGTTTCGAATTTCCAATTTTCTGTTTTTTAGTTTTCAATAAGCCCTAATTCTTTAAACTACCATTTCTTTTCATTTTAAAACTCCCTCTTTTGTGTTTTAATAAACCCTAATTGTTTGAAAACTTTCTTTCTGTCTTTTCTCCACTTCATCTTCCTCTTTTTTCCGCTTTTTTTCGTTTCAAACTTCAGATTTTCGTTTTTTATCTTTTAATAAACTCTATTTATCTGAGCCTCCTTTTCCATATTATTTTCCAACTTTTTCATTTACAAATTCCCCTTTTTGTGTTTTAATAAACCCCAGTTGTTTTAAAACCCTTCCTTTTGTCTTTTTTCCACTTTTTCATTTTAAATTTCCAATTTTCAGATCTGCGCTTTTTATTTATAATGAACCCTTATTCTTTAAACCTCCCTTTCTGTCTTTTCAAATTTCTTTTTTTTATTTTTTAATAAACCCTAATTGTTGAAACCTCCCTTTCTTTTCCGCCCTCTTTTTCCTCTTTTCCCACTCTTTTTAATTCTAAATTTTAAACTTCAAATTTTGAATTTTAAATTCAATTTTCAAATTAAATTTAAAATTTATTTTTTTCAAACTTCAATTTTAAAATTTCATTATTCATCTTCAGGGTTATCTCGCGAAAGTCTCTTGCCAAGAAGTCTGGTGCCCCATGACTGCCGAGTTTTACAGAGAGTACCTCAGAGTACGCAAACCCTAAACCCTAAACCCTAAACCCTAGACCCTAAACGCAAACACTGAGGCTTGACTCTAGGCCGGAGGCTGTGGTCTTTCTCGCAGAGGTGGCGGCGTGTGTTTTTCGCGCAGCGCTGGCTCCCGAGGGTTTAGGGTTTAGGGTTTAGGGTTTAGAGCCTAGCGCCCAGGAGGTTTAGGGTTTAGGGTTTAGGGTTCACGGTCTACTGCCCAGGGTTCAGCGTCCAGCATCCAGGGCCTGGCGCCTCTTGCCTCAGGCCCAGCGTTCAGGGTTCAGGGTTCAGGGTTTAGGGTTTAGGGTTTAGGGTTCAGGGCTCAGGGTTCAAAGTTCCGGCTTCCGGGTCCCGGCCTCCGGCTTCGGAGCTTGGGGTTCAGCGCCTAGGGTTTAGGGTTTAGGGTTTAGGGTTTGGGGTTTGCGGGCAGGCGCCGTACGCGAAGCAGCGGAAGCTGTGGGTGTGCAACCCCTCCAAGTTGATGGTTTGCGAGTTTTTGCTCAAGTTCCACGAAGCCAAAGGCGACAAAATAATTGTTTTTTCCGACAACGTGTTTGCCCTCTTGCATGCAGCGCGTGCGCTGAACAGGCCCTTCATTTACGGCAAAGTGTGCCCGCCGGAGCGCATGGCCATCCTCACCAAGTTCAAGGCAACAAACCCTAAACCCTAAACCCTAAACCCTAGACCCTGCACGCGCGCGGGCGCGCGCCGCGCCGCGCCGCGCAGCCGCGGGCCGCCGCGCCTTTCGGGGGCCTTGGGGGGGGGAGCGGGGTTTAGGGTTTAGGGTTTAGGGTTTAGGGTTTAGGGTTTAGGGTTTAGGGTTTGGGGGTGGGGTTTAGGGTTTGGGGGTGGGGTTTAGGGTTTGGGGTTTGGGGTTTCGGGTTGGGCGCAGAATGAAAGCTCCTTCAACACCCTTTTTCTTTCGAAAGTCGGAGACAATGCAATTGACATTCCGTGCGCAAACGTCGTCATACAAATCTCCTTCAACTTTGCTTCCAGGTCAGCAGCAGCAGCAGCAGCACAGCAGCAGCAGCAGCACCAGCAGCACAGCAGCAGCAGCAGCACCAGCAAGAGTAGCCGCACCAGCAGCGCGAGCAGCAGTAGCACTAGAAGGAGTAGCAGCAGGCCTAGCACCCAAGAACGAACAGGAGCACCATCATCAGCAGCAGCAGCAGCAGCAGCAGCAGCAGCAGCGTGGGGTGTACGTACACCGCAGGCGGCAGGAGGCGCAGCGGCTGGGGCGGATTTTGCGGGCGAAGCCGCGCGGGGCGGAAGAAGACGGAGGCTTTAATGCATATTTTTATTCTTTAATAAGCAAAGACACTTTGGAAATGGTTTACGCGGACAAGAGGCAGCAGTTCATCATCGACCAGGCAAACCCTAAACCCTAAACCCTAAACCCTAAACCCTAGACCCTCGGCGGCGCCCGCGGCCGCGGCGCGCGGCAGGCAGGCCCTGCGATTTAGGGTTTGCGGGTTGGGCCGCTGCTGCGGGGGCTTTCGGACAAACGCGCGGGCTGGGGTTTAGGGTTTAGGGTTTAGGGTTTAGGGTTTGGGGCGGTGCTGCAGGGCTATTCGTACAAAGTGCTGCACTGCAGAGACCTGCCGCTGCAGCAGCAAACCCTCGTCTACGGGGATCGGGATCGGCAGCAGGCGCTGCTGCGGGACATTTTGCTGAGTGATGATTTGGACAAAAGTTTGGATGAAGATGAAGACGAAGGGGCTTATTTGCCGCAGCAGCAGGAGCAGCAGCAGCAGCAGCAGCAGCAGCAGCACGAGCAGCAACCCAACGTGCGAGTCGTCCAGGGAGGACTCGCCGGAATTTCGGGCAAGCCCTCCACTCACAGCTTCGCTTCCCCCTAGGGTTTAGGGTCTAGGGTTTGGGGTTTGGGGTTTAGGGTTTAGGGTTTGGGGTTTAGGGTACGTTGCTGCATCATGTGCTCCCGTGACTCTGTATAGATGAAGTCAGATATATATAACACAAATATGAATATAATAAATAACAGATATAAATAAAAGCAACAGACAAAAATATAAATGACAAATAAATATAAATACAAATATAAATACAAATATGAATTCTAAATATGAATATAAATATAAATTGCAATTATGAATCATAATTGTAAACATAAATGCAATAGGTATGAATGTAAGTCTTCACGCAAAATTGCTTCCTTTCTGTCTTTTTTGTTCATTTTTCGAGCTTATTTGACCCAAAAGAGTTAAATTTGATCACTGAATTGTTTTCTTTTCATTTCAAATGGTATTTCTTTTTCATTTTATGTCTTTTCTGCTCTTTTTGCTTCTTTTTAGGCTTTGAGGCCCCCCGGGGGCCCCCACGCAGCGCCCGGGGCCCCAAGCCCGCGGCGGAAATGCATCCGCTGTTCCGCCGTTTCCACAGCAACAAGCCTTAGAAGTGGAATACAAATTTAATTAAAGTAAATTAATTTATCGTTTCATTTACTTTTTATTTTTTTAATTTATTTGCAAATTAATTCGCCACTTTGACCCTCTTTTCAGCTTTCCGAGGCTGCCGAAACGACTGAGACACAGGCACGCGGTGTCTGTACACAAGAGCAAAAGAGCCCGAAATAAATGAATTGAATCAAAAAGAGAAAGAAGATTTATTCATTTCAAAGTATTTCATTTATTTTTAGTTCAAATTAATCTGCCTTGTTCTGATTTCAAGGAGTTTAGGGGTAAACGCAACGGGAGTGTCAAGTGTCTAGACACCTGGCGTGCATGCGCTCGCTACACAGAACGATATTCTCAACGCGCTTTTATGCACACCTAATTTTATAATTTAAACTGAAACTACAAACAAATAAATATTTAAAATATATATTTATATTCATATTTAGATTTATATTTGTACTTACGTGTGTTCATTCGAGTGTTTCTACGGGTGCGCGTTTCTCTGCACACCTGATGTTCGCAATTCAAAGTGGACACTTCAAACGAAAGAAATACATATTTACACTTTTAGATGTGCAATTTTGTTCTATTGTTTTATTTTGAAGACTTTAAAGTATTTATAAAAGCGCCAACTCCACAATTCATAAAAACTCCAACTTCAAAAAAAGGCTGCCGCGCCAGCTGTAGATACATACACCCTAGAGTGTACGTACACCCCAAGTAACGCACATCTCCATTTGCGCCTTTTTTCGTTTAAAAGTACTTCGCTTCTACTTTTAGAGTGTACTTAATTTATATTTAACTTATATTTGCAAATAAAGTTAAATTTAATTGAGATAAATACTAATTTGCGCAGACTTGCTCTAACATTTATATCCACATAAACCCTAAACCCCGGAGCTGCGTACCCACACAGACTGTGGTTGTTTATGCCAGCGCATGCACTTCTTTAGAGACTTTTCATAATATATACTATTTATAAATATATATATTTACATACATATATACAAGTATATATATATATATGCATATATATATACTTTTTACATTTGCACCATATAATAAACATCTATATCTTCAGCTGACACAGACGCAATATAAACCCTAAACCCTAAACCCTGATACGCTGACGACGTAAACCCTAGACTCTAAACCCTAACGTTCCTTAAACCCTAAACCGCCGTAAACCCCAGACTCTAAACCCTAACGTTCCCTAAACCCTAAACCCTAAACCCTAGGAGGCTCTTGAAACTTTTGCGCTAGGCCGCAAGCCCCAGATTGTGTAGATACGAGCTGCCGCAGCAGCAGCGCTGCTCCACTGCAGCAGCAGCGTCAACGACGCAAAAAAACTCCAATAAACTAACCGCAGCTGGTACTACAGTTGCTGCTGCTGCTGCTGCTGCTGCTGCAGTCTACTGCACTATTAAATTTCTCCTCGAGTTAAGGAAAAGCGAAGCTACTAGCCCCCCTTCTGCTGCTGCAGCAGAGGGAGCCCCCCCTGCTGCTGCTGAAGCTGCTGCTGAGGCTGCTGCTGCTGCTGAAGCTGCTGCTGAGGCTGCTGCTGCTGCTGCTGCTGCAGCCCGTCTGCTTCGCTGCTGCAGCCTGTCCCTGTTGGCAGCACGCGATGAGGTAGTAGAGCCCTCGGGAACATTTGACTGCAGCTGCTGCAGCGGCTGCAGCTGCAGCAGCAACAAGCAGCAGCAGCAGCGGCGAGCACCAGACGCGGGACCTGCTGCAGCATTTTTCGCTGCAGGGCTGCAAAACATTGGGCCTTGCTGTTGCTGCTGCATTGGCTGCTGCACCGTTCTGCTGCTGCTGCTGCCGCTGTAGTTCTGCACGCTCGCACTTTACTTTAGTTTAAGTGTTTGGGTGCGGAATGGTAAAGAGATTTGAGAACGAACCTGCAGCAGCAGCAGCAGCAGCAGCAACATGCCTAGCCCTTGAATGCGCGCGCACCGACAAGCAGCAGCAACAATACCAGGAACAATAGCAGCAGCAGCAGCAGCAGCAGCAATAGCAGCCTTACGCCTCAGCAAGCAGCGTCTCGATCTCTTGAGGGCCCCATGTTGTCGTAGGGAAATTTTGAATAAACAGTATCATCTGCAGCAGCAGCAGCAGCAGCAGCAGCTTTCGCAATTAAGCTCGCGCGCTGCAGCAGATCGCTGCTCAGCAGCAGCAGCAAACACCTAGAAGTGCCCACCATAATCAGCAGCAGCGGCAGCAGCAGCAGCAGCACTTATTCCTCACCTGCTGGAAATCCATTTGCTTCAGCTGTCTCGACCAGTTTACGAGAAAAACTGAACACAAAGGAGCTGCAGACACTTTGCTGCTCCAACAGCAGCAGCAGCAGCAACAGCAGCAGCCGCTGCAGCAGCCTCTAGGCCTCCGCAGAGCCCCACTGCGGAGCACTGGCTCTTCACCTAGAGCTGCTGCAGCTAACATTTTGCCCGCAGCAACAAGAGCAGCAGCAGCAGCAGCAACAGCAGCAGCAACAGCGAAGCAGCAGCAGCAGCAGCACCTGCGCAGACGTAGACGTGGAAGTCCGAAAAGCCTTCCGCCTGCTCCGCTATGTAAGTATCCCACAGTCGAATTACGCAGCTCAGAGGGAACTCCCTGCAGCAGCAGCAGCAGCAGTGCAGCAGCAGCAGTATAGCAGCAGCAGCAGCAGTAGCAGTAGTACAGCAGCAGTAGCACAGCAGCAGCAACGGCAGACAATGATCTCAGCAGAGACAGCTAGCAGCAGCAACGGACACAAAAGAAGCGCCAACCAAAGGAAGCAGCAACAGCAGCAGCAGCAGCAGCAGCGGCAACAGCAGCAGCAACATACCGCATGAGCAAGCAATTCATCCAGCGGAAAGTGACCTGCAGCAAATCGACCCCGTGGTCTTCCAGGTGCTGGTAAAGGCCTTCTGCAGCAGCAGCAAAGCGACAGTAGCAGCAAAAGCAGTGAGTCGCTGCATCAATTGCTGCTTGCTCAGCAGCAGCAGCAGCAGCCAATGCCACAGCAGCACAGCGGCTAGCCTGCAGCAGCAGCAGCAGCAGCAGCAGCAGCAACGCACCATCAACCCTTTTGACGATGTCCCGCAGCCGAACGACAAGACGGCGAATGCCCGGCTGTCCGAACGTGTAGTGATCCTGCAGCAGCAGCAGCAGCAGCAGCAGCAGCAGCAGCAGCAGCAGCAATAATCTGAGCTGTGCCTGGAGCCGCAAACTGCAGCAGCAACAGCAACTGCACTACGCGCGAAGGAGGGAGCAGCCCTTTGTGATCCATTACAAGAACAAGCAGCAGCGGCAGCAGCAACAGCAGCAGCAGCAGCAACAGCTGTAGCAGCAGCCGCAGCAACAACAGCTGCAGGAGCAGACCTGAATATGGGCCAGAAGCTTCGCGAGACACCAAAAGCTGTCCGCCTCAACCTGCAGCAGCACTTTCTCGTCTACCTGCAGCAGCAGCAAGCAGCAAAATCTCAGCTCGTGCTGCTGCTGCTGCTGCTGCTGCTGCTGTTGCTGCTGCTCCTTTTGCTGCAAGGCCTCACCTCGTCAATAGAAAGCTCCTCGGGATCTCTCCCTGAAAAGCAGCAGCACGCCGCAAACCCTCAGCAGAAAGTCTAAACCCTAAACCCTAAACCCTAAACCCTAAACCCTAAACCCTGAAGGACCCTGTTGCCAACTTTCCAGATACAGGGAACAGATACGCAACGAAGACTCCAAACCCTAACGGTACTCCAGAGCACTCTGACCCTAAACCATAAACCCTAAACCCTAAACCCTAAACCCTAAACCCTAAACCCTAAACCCTACCGAGCGCTGCGTGTAGGAACACTGCGACGAAGGGAGTCAGTAAATCATTTATGCCCTGAGAACAGTATGACCAGCAGCCACCCTTAAACCCTAAACCCTAAATCCTAAACCCTAAATCCTAAACCCTAAACCCTGAACACTGAACTCTAAACCCTAAACCCTAAACCCTAAACCCTGAACCCTCAACCCTAAGCCCTAAACCCCAAGTGCGCACCTGCACATAGCCGCTGGCTGGGTGCTTGACGGCCCACAGAAATAATGCGCGCTCCATACCCCTGCAGCAGCAGCAGCAGCAGCAGCAGCAGCAGAACAGATTGCAGCAGCACAGCCCGCGTAAAGTCCAGCAACGACAGCTGCGCTGCTGCTGCAGGCGCTGCTGGTGCTGCTGCTGCTGCTGCAGCCTGAGCTACTGCCAGCGCAAAGCAGCAGGTGGGCGCACCTGTGCTCTGGTCAACCCTAAACCCCAAACCCTAAACCCTAAACCCTAAACCCTAAACAGTAGAAGGTAAACCGCAGCCCCAAGGGCCTCCACCGCCTCTGCTGCTGCTCAGCTGCGCCTCGCAAGAGAGCTGAGACCTAGACCCTAGGGTTTAGGGCTTAGGGCTTAGGGCTTAGGGCTTAGGGTTTAGGGTTTAGGGTTTAGGGTTTACAGCTGAATGCGGGGGTGGGCAAAGAACTTCCTGCCCGCGTGGGTCCGCGGCAAGTCCACGCGAAGCTGCTTCAGCAGCTTCACTTCTTCTGCTGAAGCTTCCCCTCTGCTGTAGTAGTGCTGCAGCACGAGCAAACCCGAGGGTTTAGGGTTTAGGGTTTAGGGTTTAGGGTTTGGGGTTTGGGGGGTGGGGTTTGCGGCGCGGCGCCGCGGCGGCGGCTGCTGCTCGCGTCAGCCCGTAACTCCCCACCGAACTGCCTACACGAGGGTTTAGGGTTTAGGGCTAGGGTTTAGGGTTTAGCGTTAGGGTTTAGGGTTTAGGGAGGGCTGGGGGCTCCTACCTGGACCAGCTCTTGGTAGTCCGCCCTCTTCTTCGCCAGCGCTGCAGCAGCAGCAGCAGCAGCAGCAGCAACAGCAGCAATATGCGGCAGCAGCATCCACAAGCGGCAGCAAAGGCAGCAGCAGCAGAAGCTGCAGCAAAAACCAGCAGCTGCTGCAACAAAAGCAGCAGCAGCAACATCTAATTGCACTACCAGCAGCAGCAACACACGGCAGCAGCAGCAACTCGCGGCGGCAGCAGCAGCAACAGCTGCAGCAACTCCGTAGTCCGCATAGAAGGCCCCAGCAAGGCAAGCCCCAAACCCTAAACCCTAAACCCTAAACCCTAAAGTCTAAGCCTTAAGTACCTGCGTCTTTCCTGTCGCGAGTTAGCGGCAAATATCCCTGAGGGATCCACACATTCAGTAAACCCTAAACCCTAAACCCTAAACCCTCGGACCCACACCGAGGTGGGCTTGCGGCAGCAGCAGCAGCAGTAGCACCAGCAGCAACACGCTCAGCGACAGCAGCGCCGACAGCAATCCGCAGCAGCAACAAGAGCAGCAACACCAGCAGCGACAGCAACAGCAGCAGCGACAGCAGCAGCAGCAGCAGCGACAGCAGCAGCAGCAGCAGCACACCAACATGATTCGCCAGGCATCGCTCCGGACTTCTGCGGAGCAGCAGCTCGGCACTCCACCCCACAGTAAGTTCCTTAACTCTCCTGCATCCAAAGCAGCAGCAGCAGCAGCAGCAGCAGCAGCAATAGCAACAGGTAGCATGCATTCCTGTCTACAGTCATTTTGTCCGCCTTACGCATGGAAGGCTCGGGTAGCGAGAAATGGCAGCAAATGCTGCTGCTGCACCAGCAGCTGCTGCTGCTGTTTGAGTTTGCTGCTGTCGCTGCTGCTGCTGCTTGTGTTTGCTGCTGCTGCTGCTGCTGCTGCCAAGAGCATACCTGCGTCTATTACATCTCGACTCAGGAGCTGTTGAAACCTCTCAGCTTTAACAGACGTGCTGGCGATAGTGTTACTGCTGCTGCTGCTGCTGTTGCTGCTGCTGCTGTTGCTGCTGCTGCTGTTGCTGCTGCTGCTGTTGCTGCTGCTGCTGCTGCTGGAATTCATTGTGCTACGGCTCCGTCCCGAGTCCCCCTGAGGCATCCGCGTGGGTGTGGGGGGCAGAAGTCGTGTGAAGTGGCATCGCTTGCTGCTGCTGCTGTTGCTGTTGCTGCTGTTGCTGCTGCTGCTGCTCGTGCCTTGGCGCATTGCTGCTTCAGACGCAGCAGCACCTCCAGCAGCTCGGCTAACGGCTGCAGCAGATGGGCATCACCGTATCCCAAGAGTCTGCTGCTGCTGCTGCTGTGCTGCTGCTGCTGCTGCTGTGCTGCTGCTGCTGTGCTGCGGCTGCTGTGCTGCTGCAGCCGCTGCTGCCTGGAACGTCAACGGGGGGCCAGGCCCTGGCTGAAGCCGCGAGGACACGGGGAAGAGTCCGTGAAGTATACTTTGTGCTGCTCGGAAGCAGCAGCAGCACGGGCTACCGCAGCAGTAGCTGCAGCAGCAGCAGCAGCAGCAGCTGGGATTCTGCTTGTGTCGCCAGTGGAGGCACACCAGCAGCCCCTGGTGTGTACGCACACCCTAGTGCTGCTGCTGCTGCTGCAGATGCCTGGTCAAGTCTGCAGCAGTTGCTGCAGCTGCTGCTGCTGTAAGCTGCTGCCTTCGTCGGCGGCGCCGCTTTAGGCAGCAGCAGCAGCAGTAGCAGCAGCAGCAGCAGAAGAGCGCGTGGACGCGTGGCTTTCTACTGTCTATCCAGAGGAAAGAAACAAACGGATAATTGGGTTCTATTTGCAGAGTTAAAGAGGATCTTTTACCTCTTGCAGCAGCAGCAGCAACTAGAGAAGCTGCAGCAGCGGCTATTGCTGCTCGACCGAGGGGGCTGGCTTCCGAGCAGCAGCAGCAGCAGCAGCAGCTGTAGCAGCTGCCGCAGCTGCCGCCTTTCTTCGTCACTTTCGTTTGGTGGGAGAACTCTACATAAGCAGTTTCACTGAAGACAGGCATGCAGGCCAGTGATCAGGGTAGCAGCAGCAGCAGCTGCAGCAGCAGCAACTGGAGCAAGAACTGCAGCATCAGAGCAGCATCTGGGGCTGTTGCTGCTGCTGTCTTCAATACACAATAGCGCGTGCCCCAATATAGTGCAGCTTTGATTCTGAATATGTTTGGAGGGAGGCCTTCCTGCTACTGCTGCTGCTGCTGCTGCTGCTGCTGCGGGGGCTCAGCTGTGCACGTTCATTCCGGAACAAATGGGAAGGCGTTTCTTTGTTGCATAAAATTATGGAAAATAATTAGCTTTGAAAACACACAGATCTCTGTTGCTTCCGCTGCTGCTGCTGCTGCCTCTGTTGCTTCTGCTGCGCAGCAGCTGGATCGCCGTTGCTTCTTTTGCTGTTGCCTCCATTGCGACATTGCGGTTGCTTTAGCTGCTGCTCCAGTTGGATCACTGTTGCCTTCGCCGCTGCTGCTGCAGCAGCAGCGGCGTCGTTGTTGCTTCCGCTGCTGCTGCCTCGCTGTGCCTCAGCAGCTGTTGCTGCTGCATGTGCACTGCCTTTGCTGCTTCTCCTGCATCGCTCGTGCACCATCTGCTGCTGCTGCTGACGCTGCGTTGCCGTTGCTGCAGCAGCTGCTCCAGTTGCAGCTGCTGTCGTTTAAGCCGCTGGTGACGTTGCTGCAGCTGCTGTCGCTGCTGCTGCCGTTGCTGCTGCTGCCGCTGCTGCACAACCGCAGCTTGGGCGCACCACACGGGTAGCTAGCTGCTGCCTCCCCTATGGGCCCAATTAGGGTTTAGGGTTTAGGGTTTGTCTCCTCTTTAAGGGAAGCAAAACGGTCTATGGCCCCCTTGTGGCCTCTATGCTGCTGCAGAGAGAGAAAGTTAGGGTTTAGGGTTTGCCGAAGCAGACTGCAGCAGCAGCACCAGCAGCAGCAGGAGAAGCCTCAAGCAGCAAGTAGCTACCTGAGGGAGCAGCAGCAGCTGCTGCAGTGACAGCGAAGCTCACGCGAAACCCTAAACACTAAACCCTTGCTCGGTGCTTCCAAACCCTAAACCATAGCTCGGCTGCTGCTAAACCCTAAACCCTAGTTCGGCTCCTGCTAAACCCTAAACCCTAGCACGGGTGTTGCAGAGAGTGCTTTTCTGCTTGCTGCATATTCGTCGCTGCCGCAGTCAATTGCTGCTGCTGCTGCTGCTTCTCGCAAGCTGCAGCAGCAGCAGCGGCAGGCAAAAGACTCAGCCATAAATGACGCCCCCAACGCAGCAGCAACAGCTGCAGCAGCAGCAGCAGCGACAGCACCGAAAAGCTACTGCATACACGCAAGACAAGCAGAGACAATAGGTCGCTCGCGCAGCAGCTGCTGCAGCTGCTGCAGCTGCTGCAGCTGCTGCAGCTGCTGCAGCTGCTGCAGCTGCTGCAGCTGCTGCAGCGTAAGCAGCAAAGCTCCCCCTGACGGTAACCTGTTTCTCGCTGCGTGCTGCCCCAGCAGCAGGACCGCAGCAGCAGCAGCAGCTGCTGCTGCTGCAGCTGCTGCTGTTGCAGCAGCTGCTGCAGCAGCAGCTGCTGCAGCAGCAGGTCAATACTGCGCAGAGTCCGCCATCCAGTGGCTGAGACTCTCGGGCAGCTGCGTGGGCCTCGCCAGGGCCTGCCTGGCTAGCTGCTGCAGGTGCTGCCGCTGGCTAGCTAGCTGCAGCAGCAGCCGCTGGTGAGCCAGAGCAGCAGCAGAAACTTCTTCTGTTTCTTCTGCTGCTCTCTCGCGGCCCAAAGACCGCAGCAGCGCCGCCGTCCGCTGCACGTGCAGCCTTTCGGAGGTCCTTATCTCAAACGGCCGCCTGCTGCTGCTGCTCCTGCTGCTGCTGCTGTTGCTGCTGCTGCTGCTGCTGTTGCTGCTGCTCGGGGGAGTTCCGCGGGGGGAAGCAACTGATCTGCACGCTGTTGTCGACGCAGAAGACACGGGAGAGAGGGAGGGAGCAGCAGCAGCTTCGAAGCCTCTGGCTGCTGCTGGCCCTGCTGCTGCTCCTTCTGCTGCTGCTCCTGCTGCTGCTGCTCCTGCTACTGCTGCTCCTGCTGCTTTCCGCTGCGACAGCAACTCCATTGCTTCGTCCAGCCGCCGCCACACGGGATCGCACGATCCCACGGGCGCCGGCTGCGGAGGTAGTGGCCGCTGCTGCTGCAGCATGTTCAACTCCATCTCGATAACTGTAGCAGCAGCAGCAGCAGCAGCAGCAGCAAAGGCGTGAACAACTGAGACACAGCCAATGACGCGTCAGCAACAGGCCACTGATAGCAGGGCGTTAGCAGTCCCCGCAGAGCAACAGCAGCAGCAATGGCATCGGACGCCACAGCACAGCCAGCAGCAGCAGCAGCAGCAGCAACAGCAGCAAGAAGCAGAGCAGCAGCAGCAAATTCTTCCCTTACAGGCCCTTCTGTCCGAATTCATTTCCAGCACGTCGTCGACTATGGCGCACCAGCCGGCGCCACTCGCGCAGCTGTTCGGGTCATTCTGTAGCAGCAGAAGCAGCAGCAGCAGCAGCAGCAGCAGAGGGTGCAGCATGCAAACACTGCATGCACTGCAGGATCACGGAGCTTCCCTGCGAAGCCCCGTTGCTACTGCAGCAGCAGCAGCAGCACGACGAAAACAGCAGCAGCAGCAGCAGCACGACGAAAACAGCAGCAGCAGCAGCAGCAGCACGACGAAAGCAGCAGCAGCAGCAGCAGCAGGAGCCCGCACGGAAGGGTTGTTGCTGAGGGGGTGCAGCTGCTGCTTCTGGTGTCTGCGAATGGCGGAAGAAACGGACTGCAGCACGCGGCTGCCTTGCTCTCCCCCCAGGCCAGCTTTTGCTGCTGTTTCGGAAGCAGCAGAAAGCCAAGACAGCACTGCGCCCCCCACAGCCCCCAGACGCGCGGGCGGCGGCGACGTCTGCAGCAGCAGCAGCAGCAGCAGCAGCAGCAGCGCTGGCGGGGAGGGGGATGAGCCGCAGCCGCGAGCGCGATGAGAGGACGGCCGTGCAGCAGCAGCAGCAGCAGCAGCAGCAGCAT